TTATTTGTTTCCTGGCAGATGGATCCTTTAGCAAAGAGCGCCACCAAAGAACCCACGTGAGGGATCAGTGGCCACTGGGGCTTGTTGTCGTCTTCTCGACCAGCTCCAGTTTTGTGGCGTTTTTTTCACATGCGCGCACGTTCCTGGAGCTGTCACCTTGCGGCACTGTGGAGTTGGGAGGCTGGCGTGAGCGCCCTGAGTTGCTAGGAAGAGAACATAAATTCACCTTGGGAGCTTTGCATGCATGACGAAGGTTGGACGCCTGCCACTTTCACTAACGACGTGAGGTCTTCGATGGTGGGAACAAAACCCAGCTTGAAAGGAGTCCAGAAGAGGTCTGGTTTTCCTGATGCCTCCTTGGTGGAGAATAAAAGAGCCGTCTTTCTGTCCAGTACAGCTGAAGGGCCATAAATTGCCAACCAGAAGCACACGTTAATCAGTGTGTTGGTGGCACCCCCAAATTCAGCCTTGCCAACTGCACTCGGGAGAGGAAGTGGGCTGTTTGTAACAGAGCTGAGCTCCTGTAGGCTGCACACACAAGCCTCCTGCTCAGCCCACCAGGAAACAGCTAGGTGCCCATTGTAGGACTGAGGCCTTGGTACGGATGCATTTGCATCAACTTCCAGAACACCAACAATGGTTCTTTCTGTGTCTGTGTGTATGTGGACTGTAGTTGCAGGCATCATACATTGGCATTACAAAATCTATTGTCATCTTTTGGGGTCCCTCTTTTATCCCCATTGCTGTTCACATCTAAACCTTGCATTTGCACCCTAGGGGCTCCCCAGTTTTCTTCTTTTATGGTGAAATGCGTGACAAAATTCACCGTCTTTGGGTGTACGGCGAAGTCAGATGTCTCCCCAGCATTGTGAATCCATTGTTGCTGTTTATTTCTAGAATGCTGCTTCTTCCCAAACGGAAACGTTGTGTCCATCAAACAAGAGCTGCTTCTTTCTTCTCTTCCCCCAGGCCCTTGCATCTCTGCTTTATGATTCGGCCTCATAGAAATGGTACCATGTCATCATAATGGTCCCTTTGTGTACGGCTTGCTTTGCTTAGAGTGGCATCCTGTGGGGCGTTTACCCACCACCCCCACAGCTTCCCAGAGTTTTCTTGAGTGCGAACAGCAGGAAATATTAGATAGAAGGATTTATAGCGGAGCATCGCAGAGATAAACAGATAGAAAATAAAGGATAGCCTCGAGAGGGCCTGGAACCTATTCCATCGGGCCCCGACTGTCTCTGGTCCAGGGTTTTTATAGAGACGCCAAGGGGTGGAGCAAAAGACCTCCTCCCCCAGCACAGCCAAGTGCAGACCATCTCAGACACCTGCACTCAGGCCCGTGGTCCTAATCATCCTCTATTCGGACCTGCTGGGTAAAGCCACGAGGAACCCCGGAACGGGCTCCCACAGCATCCTCATGGTTCATCCATGGAATGACCTTCCTCTTTAGAGCTGAGTAATATTCCAATGCATGTCTAGGCCACATGATGCTTATTCACTCATCTGTCTATAAATATCTGGGTTGCTCCCACTTTGGGCTATTACAAATAATGTTACTGTGAATCTCGTGTAAATTTTGAAACTGCATCCAAAGAGAAGGGACTGAGTTTAGAACAGATTAAGAGGTTCTTAACATCAGACTAACGCTTCTGGAGGCTGTGACCTCACCTTGCTTCACCTCTGGAGTGGCATTCCCTTTACAAGATATGACAGACATTCACAATAATTATATAGGCTAGGCAGTGGTGGTGCACACCTTTAATCCCTGCACTCGGGAGGCAGAGACAAGTGGATCTCTGTGAGTTCAAGGCCAGCCTGGTCAACTGAGCGAGTTCCAGAACAGCCAGGACTACACAGAAAAACCCTATCTCAAAAAAACCAAATAAGAAAAAAAAAAATCTTCAATAAAAAGTGGCACATGGTCTTTCTTGGTTTCATCAGAACTGGCAGATGCCTTTATACATAGCCATCCAAGAGCAGAGGTCGCTGCCTACCTGGGAATAATAGTGAGACAACTTATCTCTTCAGTGTATTATCTCCATGGGTATAGTAAACTTTGTAACTGTTTGGTTTAGAGCATGAATATAAAGTCGATCAACCAAAGTTCTCTGATGGGTAGTGGGGAAGTGCCACTAAATTCCACGTTGTTTGAGTTTTGTGACTTATGTGTCTGTGTGTGTGCCTACATGAGTTGATGTACACCACATGCATCCAGGAGCCCAGAGGAGGGCATCGGATCCTGGTACTGGAGTTACAGGCAGTGTGTACTGGAAGCCGAACCTGAGTCCCCTGCAAGAGCTCTCAAAGCTCTCTAAGCTCGCTCTCCGGCCCTCAGTGTTAATTTTTAAGAATGGAGCATAATGTATACGATTTTACCTCGGGGAGGGATGGTTCTTTTCAACAGAGAACAGCAACCACCTTAGACTCTCTAAAGTCAGCTGCTCAGTTAATAAGCCTTCAACCAGTTAATCTGTGACATTAAAAAGCCTGTAGCAGCCTTGGTGCAGTGGGAAGGGGCTTGGACCTGCCTAGGCTCAGTGTGCCGGGCTCTGCTGACTCCCCATGGGAGACCTTGATTTGGGGGATGTGGGGAATATGGGGTGGCTTGGGAGAGAGGGCTGGGGGTAGGAGGAGGGGGGCTCTGTGGGTGGTATGTAGAGTGAGTAGAAAATTTCTTAATTAAAAAAAATGAAAACAAAAACAACCCTGCAGCATCCAGTGTCCTGGATACACAGTCCCCGACTTAGCGTCTCCGTAACTTGCAGACCACCTCATTTCAAGTATTTCATCTTCAGTCTCCATCCAGTATGGTCCCCAGGTTCCACTCCAGGTTGTTGTAGGAGGTAAACTGCCTATTCTGAGCTGCTGCTTTGATCCTCCTGGGACTACAAGCATGCCAGTACTGACAACTTAATTATTGCATTCTTGTGGCCTGAATTTCTATACCTGCTTAAAACTTTAAAAAAAATAAGTATGTTACACTTTTTTTTCCCCAGAAGAAATAATCAAGACCACTACTTGGAAAATATATTAAACATGTATTTGTATTCGGTAGATGTTGCCTCCCCCTGAGTCCTATTGATGGGTGGATTTTTTTTTTTCCATTTCAAAGTACATTATCAACAAGAAAGTAAAATATTCATATCTAATTCATGATAACTACACTCATACTATTAGTTACTGATTCGGGTTAAAAGAACAAAAATGTTACAGGAATGTTAATCATATGATATTTTCACATTCCAGGGAGAGGGTTTCTGAACTCCTCTTTTCTGGGAGCTGAGCAGGTGCCATGTCCAGCTGAGGCATCCACAGTGGTTCATTCCCACTCACCCTGATAAACCGTGTGCTGTGCTGCAGACTGATTTGTGACTGAGCAAAAATATTCCGATATTTTTCATACCTTTCTAGCCGCATGGAGTATATATAAAACAAAATGCCCACTTTAATACTGAATAGAAGGCGGCTTGAGTCAGCACTCAAAATTCCAGGAAAACGAGCTTGCTATGAGTAATCAGGCCCACAGTTTCCAACCTTGGCTGCCCAAAAGAATCCCAGTGATTTTGAAACCCTCCTCATGTGAACCCAAGTCAAGGTCGAGCCCCACAACTTAATTCGAAAGAGAAACTAGGTGGGAGAGATCCATAGTCATCCAAGGGAGAACTGCTAAAACCTCCTAGGGAAATGAGCAGTGAGAAAATCAGTGATGGGACCACCAGAGATGGACTGAAGTAGGGGAGCGGGAAGAGGGTCGCCACGTTAGAACTGGCAATCACAGCCTGGAGACTGGATGAGGTCGCCACTAGCAGGAAGAAGGAAACAGCCTGAAGGGAAGCCTGTGACATGGTGTTAGCCGCTCAGGACAGAGTCTGATACATCAGTATCTCAGAGCAGTTAAGGACCAACCATAATACAAAATCACAGGAGAGCTTCAAAGTTATTTCAGAACACTGAGGTAGGTAGGTAGGTAGGTAGGTAGATAGGTATGTATGTAGGTAGGTAGGTAGGTAGGTAGATACATTGATATGTGTGTATATCTACATATAGATATATATGTTGATATATATAGAGATTAATAGATGCAATATATGTATGTTTCTGTGTATATAGATATATATTGATATATGTTGATATTTATTGATAGATGGATAGATACATTGATATGTGTTTGTGTGTATATATCTATATATTCATTGATATATATAGATATATATGTTAATATATATTGATAGATGGGTGGATGGATAGATAGATAGATAGATAGATAGATAGATAGATAGATAGATAGATAGATAGATAGATATGTATTGGTGTTGTTATATTCCAGAAAGCTGGCTTAATTCACAAACAGCAAGAAGGCATTGGTACCGCCGGGTGGTGGTGGTGCACGCCTTTAATCCCAGCACTCGGGAGGCAGAG